TTAAAAGAGGAGTTTATCTAGTCACCAGCAACTTTAAGAAAAAGGGAGGAAAAAAAAAAGGCTGACCTCTCAATTTAACATAAAGTGATTAGAAGTACCATTGGATACTTACTATGCAGATGTGATTGCAGTAATCAAACCAGCTTTGAATCTGCACACAGCTGCAAAAGAAAATGGCATTCACATTCTAAGAACAGATATCAATAATGCATAAGAAATTTTCCATGGGTTGAAAACCATAGGATACATACCGTGAGCTGCCCTTCTCATTCTTGGCAAGCCGTTGAAGTATATCAACTTCAATCATTGCTGCATCACGGTATTTACGTATGCTTCTAACTATCTTGATTGCAACATATTCTCGTGTTTGGCGATCCCAACATTCCAAAACTCGGCCAAAGGTGCCTACAATACCATCAATGTGCTGAATGGCACAAGCAGAATGACAAAACAAAAGATCTTGTATACAGCAGAACACTTGACATCTAACCTTCACCCATCTTGCTTAGTATTTTATCTGCCACAAAATAAAGACAAGAAAGGCAGCTTAAGACATCAAACTCAGACAATAGCATTCAGTCTCAGCAGATAACAAAGTTTTTATATTCAGTATGCAACCCAATTACAAATATCTAAGAGATTAATTATTTAGGATTTCTTCCTTTTCTCCAAGCAATCAACCCAACAAAAGTACATAAAATTAAGAACTAGTCCAAGTTAAGATAAAACTCACATCTGGGAGTTAGATTTTCCCCGAGATTAAACACATAATGGCCCTCGTGATCATCGTCCCTTCTTGGAGGGGACGCTCGCCTTGCTACAGCCCCTTCATGCACCGGCACCATAGCCCGTTGCGCCTACAAACCATACCCAACCCGAAAAGGTCAGATTTTGTTTCATAACCTTGTAAAATTCATTGTAAAATTCGCCCTTTTTGCTTCCTGGACTCTCTGCCTGTCTCGCTCTGTACGCTCTATCCCTAATTTTGATTGAGAAACCAACCTCTAACCCGGATGGCGCCACGTCCCACGCAAGACGAGGCCGTTTTCTTGTTCGCTCCTTCTCCATCTCCACTACTTCCATAGTTACCATCCACTTCTCGCAATCGATCTCGGTTTTTCTTTAACAATCTGAGTATCTGCAACACAAACTTAACAAACTCTGAAAGGATTAGGGTTTTGAGAACTCAATTTGGAGCTGCGAAGCAGAAAGACGGGAGATTTGTGAGCGAAAGTTTTCTGCTTTTACGGAGGGAACCCGATTAGGGTTCTTCAATTTATTTTGGGATTTTTCCGCGAATCCGTTGATTCTGTGTTCGCGTTTCACGATGATGTCCCATGTTTCTCTCTCTCCATCGGGCGGTTAGAATAGAATCTATGTTGTTTCCACTCTGGGCCCAAGTGGTAGCTACTAGCCTACTAATTTGCAATTTGGGCTTCTCCTCCTCTGTCTACAAAATACAGTCCGCCCTGAGGCCCAAACAATTAATAATGACTACTTGGATACCAAACGGGTTGGAGTTAGGTTTATTTAAGAATTTCAAATTCTAGTTCAAACTCAATTCAAACATATATTATTTTTTATGTTCAAGCTAAAAGGTTTGAATTTTATGATATATAGGAATTGATTTGGAAACAAAATCACTATCACCCATTGCAACTGCACATACATACAATAAAAATTATAAAATTTGAGCTCAACTGAATTACTTAGGGCATAGAATCCAAGTCAAATTTTAAGTTTAATATCAAATTCTAAAAACTTGTTTTTTTATCCTAGCAGTAAATTAAGATGGGTCTTTCAATAATGGAGGATTGATTTCTTCATTCAATAATTAATATTTTATATTTTAATAAATTATAAAAAAAAGAAAATTTAAAATTATGTTATTTTAATATAATATAATAATAATAAATTAAAACAATTTTATTTTATTTTAAAAATAAAATATTTTATTCTTTATTAAAATTTATTAAAACAATATAATTTTTAAAAAAATTCATAATTTTTTAAAAACTAAATTGACAAATATTTTTCTTAAATTTTAATATAATTAAGTTAAGTACTCAAGTTTGAGCTCAAAATTATATTGGCTCCAAGAGAACACAACGTTATAAAGGTCGGCCCGGTTGGCTGGTAACGGAAGAGCTCCACCCAGTTTGATGTCATACACTTTGGACCGTGACCGAGCAACTCGTTTCATTTTCAGCCCTAAGTGGGCCAACCATGTCATCATAGTGGCCTAAGCATGGCTCCATAAGAGCCCACAGTATTGAGAATCGAACCGGTGGTTTTCTTGACATCGAAAAACTGTTTTACAGTCCTCCTGACTTTTCCTCAATTTAAGAAAAGGCAAAAAAGATCGTTGGGAGCACGCGATCTCCACATCAGGAGCCCCCAGCACATACTCCACACGCTTCCTTTGGTCCGGGCACGTCAGTGCGCACCAAACCGGAGAGAAATGCAGTCACTACAAGAGAAAGCGTCGCAGTGGAGCGGCGTTGACTCGGCCGACGCCTTCGCCATCGACACCACCAATCTGTTCCAGAAGCTTGGACTCCAGACCTTCATCAATCTCTCCACAAATTTCTACAACAGGTAATTTGTTGCTTCCACGAACCACACTCAACTCATTTCTTGTTTATTTACGCCTTTTTCTTTATCTGGATTACCTGACATGATTTTGGGATTCGTTCAAGGGTTTTTGATGATGAAGAGGAATGGTTTAGGTCTATCTTTGCGAGCTCAAAGAAAGAAGAAGCTATTCAGAATCAGTACGAGTTCTTCGTGCAGAGAATGGGAGGACCTCCTCTGTATTCTCAGAGAAAAGGTTAGGAATTTCGCGTTCTTTTCGCTTTATGTTCAATTAGCTTTATGCTTTCAGTTTCTCAGAGGAAAGATTAGGAATCAGCATTTCTGTTATTTTGGACTTCAGAGTTTTTACGTAATCTGTGCTTAAAAGTAATTATTTCTTACAAATTCTGTGTCTCAGCTTCATGTTTGCTCGTTTAATCACTTTTATTGCTATGTAATTCTAGAAAATTGGTGCAAGAATGGAAGAGATAAGAGTGATATAGGAATTTAGTATGTTGTTGGGACCCTGGGGCTATATATAGGAGAAAACAAAGTTTGAACCTGGGACTTGAACCATTTTTACTGGTTGCCGTGAATTTGACAATTTCTAGAACTATGTTTTATGTGATTGTTGCTGATCATCTTTAACTTGTGGGATTTCTTTCACAGGCCATCCTGCATTGATTGGCCGGCATAGACCATTTCCTGTCACGCATCAAGCTGCAGAACGATGGTTGCATCACATGCAAAAGGCCCTAGAAAGCTCCCCAGATATTGATGATGATTCAAAGACAAAAATGATGAATTTTTTCAGGCACATATTTCCCATCCTCTCAACTTTATCTTTAATCATTATTTATCCTAATCTTCATTTGTCTATATATAGTTTTTGTACAAAGTTGTTAGATTGTGAATATTTTCTTCTTTTTGTTTTCTCAGACACACTGCATTCTTTCTTGTGGCTGGAGATGAGTTAAAGAGTCAAAATCAACAAGTCGTGTGCAAGCATGCAGGCAGCAAACCAGATGCAGTCTAAAACTATTAATGGCATACCTTCATTCCTTTGTTGGGAAAAACAAATGGATATGTTGCCATTCATCCACCTCTTAATTATGACAGTGTAACTTTACCACAGCCTGTCTCAATAAATCTTTTCTAGAAAACATTTATTTACAAAAGGGATGTCCAGACTGCGTTAGATGATACTCTCTCATACATTTCCCCTTCCTTTGCAGTTTTTATTGAATTTTTCTTTGGTATGAGTCGATTTCTATCTTGTATAAGCTATTTACATAATCAAAGTGGTTGTCAAAGTTTTATATACATCCATGATCTGATATAATGCATCATTTTTTCTTTTATTTGATCGCCATGATGTAATGCATCACTGTTCATAATGTTGAGTGAATTTCTTAGATCCTGTCTGACCATATTGAAGAGGAGGATCTTGTATCATTCGCCGTGGAAATAATTGCTATGTTACTGCAAAAAAATGTGGTTACATGTGCTGTAGATAAAAGCCTAATTCATGATTGGAGTCTAAATAATTGCTACCTTACTGCCAGATATGTGAGTGCATGTGCTATGGATAAAAGCCTTGTTCATGATTGGAGTCACCTTGAATTGTGACTCCCATACCACGTTCTCCCAACTATGTGGACGAATCGGTATGTTTGCACATTTTAATTTATTTCTTTTGGTGACACTAGCTGTGTGTTTGGTACGTATAAATGATCTCCATAAAAATGTATAGGATTCATTTTTAATCCAACGTCCTTCTATTTGGTATGATTAAAAACTTTTCATTTCAATTTAATAACTTCAATTCTATACTTGATTAAAAAGTGGTATAGATTGTTTATGCAAGGAGGATAATAGGAAAGAATCATAAACATAAACAATCTCTAGTTCTGTTCCCAAAGGTAAGCCTTTTATGTGATGCTATTATAGGGGCAAATCCTCTTCGTTTCAGTTTTCTACTCCAATAGTACCCTGTATGATGGTGAGGTGATGATTGCTTCATTGAACTTAATACACAGTTCAGTGGTGGAGAAAGAAATTCCAAGAATGGAAATCTGCTTCCTTTCTCTGCCAATCCTATTTTCATCTTCAGTTGATTGGCTCTGTTTCTCTAAGTTGACTTCATTACAGTGCATGGAACTTTGGATATGTTCCTTCCCACTCCCCAAATCCCTGTTGTGTAGTCCACTATCGTATTAACTAGCCCTTCAAATTCTATGTTAAACAGTGAAAGCTGCAAATATTCCTTAAATCAATCAAGATACCGTTTGCTTTTTATCATGTCGTCTTCCACTACTAGTGGATAGTAGTAAAATAGGATTGAGTAGCATATTCATCTACGTGTGACCGAAGCAAGCAAGAAGAGTAAAAGAAACATTCTTCAAGCTTTTTCCTTTTGTCTTGTGTTCATCTCTTTGCATTGATATCATAACCCAAACTAAAGGATTGCCCCCGTTAACAAGGTAGAAATTTAAAAAAAAATAATCTTATCTTTTAGTTCAGTTTGTAAATTAATAGCGTAATTTGAGTATCAAAATTATTTGAATATATTTAATAAATTATCATAAAAGGAGTTTCATTATAAATTTCTCTAATAAATTCATAATTTAGATTGTACTACAATCTATAGTATAGCCTAAAAAACACATTTTTGTTATATAATAATAATACGAATGAGAAACACTAAATCATGCTTATGAACAATTCTTGGAGTTGGATATTCAGCGATTTCGAATTTGGGGATTCAAAACCAAATTACTAGAATAAAAATTACATAAAAGTCATTTAAACATCATTGCAATATTAACAGGGATATTCATTCATTCATCAAACACAAAATGGAAACAAAAACTCGGCAAACTTTCCTACCTTTTCATTTTTACAACAAGCCATGATTCCTAAGGGAAATCCTTGACGGATCAGCATACCGAGCCGAGAAAGAGCGAGGAAGATTATCTGGTTCTGCCCAGTCCGTTCCCTGATCGAAATTTTGCAAGTACTCGTCTGGGGCATAAGAAGTTTGGAATGTAGCACCAGAAGAACTGAAGATTCTCTTCTTCTCCCTTACGATCTTTGTCCAGAACGTTCTCCATCTTGCCTTGACCCGATCATTTCCATCTTGCAGGTGGTTGTTCTTGCCCAATCTGATGGTTTCTCTCGCGGAGTTTTGCCATATTAATTTGATTCCCATGGAGAAAGACAACGTGAAAGCTTTGATGTTCTCTGTCCTGCCTAACCTCTCGCTCTCCATCCAGGCAAGATTGGATGAGGTTTATATTAATGCATGTAACTGACTTTATTGATAAATTTTGTTTTCAAACCCAACTGGATTTGGCACGTGCCAGCTCTCGGCTTGGCTCCGGAAACTCTCTGCGGATAACTTGAATTCAAAATTTTTTTTTTTCTACTTTCCTTTCATCTAGCCATTTACATTCTTCTTTTTTGATATAAAATACAAAGCAATAAACAGTACAAATATCTCGACTTAGACATTTAATAACATCGATGAAAATAATATAAAAAATATATATGTGGAGCTATATAAACCCATTAAACATGTAATTTTTTGATTTAAGATGATATCGGACAATATGTATCTCAATTTGCTAAAAGACTGCCAAATTGAATTGTTTAAACTGGCTTGAGTGGCTAAAGTCGTGGCCACCTGCCACGGCAGCCAGCTTTTGTGAAAATTTACGAGTCTAAAGTGAAGACCGCCGAAAGAGTCATCATTTGGGTGCCGCGTGCTAAGATTGCCTATGTCTTTTTCTCCCAAGTACCAATACTCCCTAACTGCCTTCAATATAAAATAAATCTCCAATAGTAGTAAAAGTAAAAAAGAAGATGAACAGGAAAAGAACATGTTTTTTTCCTTTATGGTAAGCCCTTGAAAGTTCATTAATCTTAAAATTTTTTAATGAGGATTAATTTAGGGTTAAATGAAGACAAATTACAGCTATGCAGCGTATTCTAAATCTGAGATTTTTCAATCACAGAGTATTTACTAGTTCCACTGTTTTTTACCAATGTTTTTGTGTCATTTTATGGAATAATGTCGTCCCCATCAGTAAATGCAATGTTGGGACCAGACATGAAAATGGGATGTAACATGGGGCCCTTTATGCAATAACATTCATGAACCATGAATTTTGACCTGACCTGAAAAGTATGGGAATTTTACGCACAAGAGATGAGATGTGGCCAGGGGCCCAAGACTGCTGCTATTAGACCATAATGTCGTTTACTAACGTTATTCATCTTGGAAGAAGATGCTCAAGTGAAAGTTGGTCCTCATCATCATAATATCTACAAACACAAACAAGATGGATATATATGAACAAGAAAAGACACCACAACATTCTTCAACAACTAAAGCCAATGAATAATTGAACAGGTAAACTTCAATCTCATATTTAACCAGCAACATTCCAGAATCTACTTGTCTTTGTCATAAACATGAAAGATGCAGTTATATAACACCAAATCCTTCTGGAGGAGGAATATCAAGGATTTCTAACATGCATTGCAGATAACAAAATTACGGTTTTATGCAAAAATTACCTTTTGACTGGGTTCAAGTTATATAGGAGTTTAAGTTTCTAACCCAATTAAAGCAGGTCCATGTTCAGGAAGGGGCAGTATTTCGATTCTGTGAGTTAGTGATGGCCCTCAATTTTTCATAGGCATAAGAGCAAGCATGAGCATAGTCTGACAATGCACGAAACAGCTCAGGCAGGTAGAGTTTGAGACTCCCCAGAGACTTCTCTCTCACATGGACACAATGTTTTTGGTGAGCTTCAATTTCCTCTTCCAATCTCCTCTTCAAGCTCTCAACTGCAAATTGCCTCTCAAGGACAGGATCTTTTGTGTTTGCTTCGTCCGCATTGGTTTCATCAGATGGAGTTCTCCGCTGCATGTACTTTTGATACCATTCCTCGAATGCCTGATTCTTGCGTAAGAACTCCTTCCTGGTTTCCTCACATTTCTCCTTTAGCTTCATCTCTTCCTCTTGGTGATGAATTATGGCATCTATCACAGCAGCAAATGAAGAAATTGCAGACTTTGCAACCTCATCAGGTAGCCTTTCAAGATAGTCATGCCATGAGTGGAGGAGTGCCTGGATTGGAGGATTCTGCACTCTTGGTGGAGATGAGATTTTCTCTTGTAAGCTGCTTTCAATGGGGATTATATTTTGCTTCAACCAGCTATTAAGACCTTGGATATATTGCTTTTGATGTGTCACAAGCTTTTCAAATTGTGAATGCCATTCTTGGACGACCTTAAAAAGTTGGATGGTCTGTTCGTAGTGGTGCTTTGTTGTTTCCTTAGGAGCATGGGCAATATCAAGATTTTTAAGGTTTGTAACAATCTCAAGCTGCTTGTCATGATGCATGGACATACTTTCCCACATTTTGCCCATCCTACAATCCATATGGCAAACTTAGTCACAATCAAAGCAACACTCAGATTTGTAGAGTTATAACTAAGAAAAACTTACCCCTCTACAAGTGCAACAAGTTTAGGATACAACTGCTCATCACGTAATCGGTTTACTTCTGACATAGTTGAATCCATGGATTGCATGTCAACTATGTATCTTGTATGCAGATGACTTACAGCTGCTTTTGTTTTCTCCAAAGATTCAGCACTTGTGCTGCGCTTCTTTTGCTTGTCTAACAAAGCAACTTTCCTTCTATACTCAAGTTTCATCAGCTCCCCTTGCTATCACCACATGAATCCAAATTTCTATAAGACTCAGCCAACAAGCATAGCAACAAAAAAATGTCTAAGTGATACTAAAATGAATCAAGGGCTCAATTATACAGTATAGCAAAAGTAAGCTCTCAATTTGAGTATAAAAGGCACAATACAATCACTCTAAACATACATCCTATGGGGAGAAATGATTAACCAAGAAACCTTGCACACTGTACCTTTACTTCATCATAGAGTTTCTTCTCCCATGCCAGCAACTTATCTAAAACAGTGGCATGAGTTTCATATTCTTCTGAATCATGATCATCCTTCCCACCTTCACCATTAGGCATACCACCTCTAAATGACCTATTCCATGTAATAACCCGCATGACCCTTTCAGAATGATCAATGTGTCCTGCAATCAGAAAGTTCCAAAAGAGAACCAGTCACATCTCTAGAATGATATAACAGAACAAAGTTTTCATCAACTCAAAGTCACAAGACACGATTAAAAGTCAAAATCCATTATTTTAATCAACTTGGAAACAAAAACCCGTGGACTCTCAGATCAGCAAAGAATGTTTTCCACACCGAACGTGATGATATTCTTCTTACAAATAAAATCAGTAAAATAAAAGTGCCATAAGATTAGTCAACTTTTAGGGCTAAAGAATCTTTGACAAACAAGGAAAAGCAATTCTTGGTCATCCTCCCCCAACAATCGGTTGATAATAGCATAAAGTATTAAAGTAGGAACGGATCTAAGGTTGATATTCTAATACAAAGACAACCAAATCAAAGATAAAAGTCCTCAACTTTTTGTGCTAATAAACCAAAGGCTTCTTAGATTATTTGAAATAAAAAATTAGTTCAGATCTAAAATGACTTAGAGCTTCAATCTTTCATACAGCAACCCTTGAATTAAAAATTAAAATCGAATTAAAGGAACAACCAAGAAATTATGGCAGAAATGCCCAGTGACTGAAGCTAAAATCCTCTTCAAAGCGAAGCAATTTCAATTACCTCGATTGTCTGCATAATTGTAGTGGTAATGCAACCTTGTGGCTTCTAGCATCTTGGACACCTCCTGGGCACTCTCGGATGCCTTCAAGAAATGATCATCAATCTCACTCAAAACATGCATGAAATTCACAGTGGGCATCGATTTCACTGTCATGCTGAAATCTGCTGGTGCCGTCTTCGAATGCTCTATCTGTATCGGCTGCTTCCCCTTTTCTCTCTTCTCTTCTTCATCCGCCTCCTCCATTGCCATGTGCTCGGCCTTATCAGGAGTCTTGGGTTCAATCTCACTATCAACATGACCTCCAAAACCCACCCCAGCATTGTTCTCTGAAACATCATCATGTGTGCTCTCGTGGTCGTTATCATCCACATCCAAACTTGGTCTCGATATGTGATCATCCACCCCGAAAAAGTAATCCCAAGTCATGTGCTTAGCCTCCGGCATGGGAGGCGTTACAACGTTGCTGTTCTCCGGAGTCCGAGGCGCCGTCACCTCCTCCAAGCGTGGCCCCTTTAAATCTTTACTGACATTGTCATTGTCTTTTACATGCTCCTCTTCCTCTTCCGCCTCCACCTCATCCTCCTCATTACTCGCAAGGGAGGAGTCAAACTGTTTCCGGCTCTTGAAGGGCACCGCAGGCATGCTAATAGAGCGCTTGATGGGGGTGGGACTGGGTGAAAACCTAGGCAGCGGTGGTGGCGGAGGGAGCGGAGGGAGGGTATCAATCATCGGACGCGGAGGTGGTGGTTGCGGGGTCAGCTGACTCAGCTCCATTGGAGGGATCTGAGGCTGCTGCTGCTGGTGGAGTTGATCGTCAGCCTCTCTATGACCGTAGTCACCCAAAGCGGCGCCGGTATTCTTCAATGACATGGTGTAACCAGAATGACCCGCCGCAAAGGCATTCCGGGCTACCACGGCTTCCTTCATTAGGATCTTCCGCTCCTTGCACCGAGCCACTGACTCCTCATTATCAATCCTCGACTGCGCACAACCCATTTCTGAAAACGGCAGTTCCAGTCAGTACCACCAGCGTAGGAAGCAAATGGCAAATAATCTTCTGGGTCGTTTCCTTTCTCGTCTCCCTCGCTACAGAAACAAGCTAAAAAACTGTTTGGCTTCAGGGAAATACAGGGAAAAAAAAGAGGGTCTTCTGGGCAGAAGATGGAGGAAATGGAGGACGAGGTGGAAATGGAATACTGCCAAGCTAGTACAGAGAGGTGTGCAGAGGGAGGACAGGAAGCAGAGGGGTAGTGCTCGGAATTTGGTGAGAGTATGATTTCGGAGCCTACTCGCTGT